CACTGTAATGAACTTAGTCCTCACAGATCTTCAGAAACCCACAGCATGACAACATCAAACCTGCAGCCAGACCCACCAGAAGACTGAGGATGGCGTCAGGTGAAGTTGCAGCTTGCCAGCAACGCTGGCCTGGAGAGGATGTGGCAAGTGCTCGAACCCTTGAGCGCCCCAGTGTGGAATTCCCCTGACCCTCAAAAGGAGGAGACGAGGCGTCGGGAGGGGACAAAGTCTCTGAAGGCAGGGCCGCTGCATCATATGAACCCTCACGGCCTCTGCACTCCCCTGGCAGGTGTCTCCTGGTTATCCGTAGTCAGGACACATACTCTAGGCGAGGCGTCCTTCCAGTATTACGGCCCTCACTTCTGGAACGAGCTGTCGGAAAACCTCAGGGCCGCACAGAACGTTCATGTTTTTAAGACCAGGCTCAAGACCCGTCTATTTAGGTAAGCTTTTAACTAATTATTCATTATAGATTTATTATTTGTTTGACATGATTATACTTTGTCATTATTTCATCATTTAATAATTTTACCCGGCATATAATTTTATTTATTTTCTTACCTTTATCATTTATATTAGCTCTTTTATTTTGTATTTTTACACATTTTAATCCAGTGTTTTCTCTGTGGGGGCCTTCTGCCCTGGGGGGTGGTGGTTGACTGTTGCTGCCTGGGAGCGTAGTGGTGGTGGTGGCCGTCTATGCTCTCCCTCCTCTGGGTGCCCTGACTTGGTGGCTGTGGTTGACCTGATGCTGCAGGGGCAGACGGCTCCTCTGATGGCATTTCCTTGCTTGGCTCATTTGGACTCAGCCAAATATAATATTGTGTGTGTGTGTGTGTGCACAGCAAATTCAGCATGCTCAAAATAACTTATCAGAGTTGATTTCAACACTTTTAAAGTGTCTATATGGGTCCACCCCAGTGAGTGTTAATTTCACACTTTTTGGAGAGTTGGTACTTTAACTCTGATTTAGTGTTAAAAACCAACTCCTCTAGAGTTAAATATTTAGCACCAGTGTTAGTGTTACTATCTTAAGTGTGCCATGCCAGGGAGCTAACAGCTACACTGTAAAACACTGGCTAACTCATGCCTTGTGCACCTCATGACTGCTACCAATCAGTAGGAGAGGATCACAAGAAGTAGAGTCCTGAGCATGTAGTATGAACCATGTACCACATGTGTATTGTGACAGTGAAACACACAGCAGTCCCATTCTTTTGACTGGCCTCCCCACTCACGGTACAAACATGACATAACAAGCAAAACCACATTAGCAACTGTGAACTAACTAAGAACAACACAACTCCCCAAAATAAACATGCATAAACACCCCAAAATAGAACAAACAAACTAAAATTATGACTACCTACAATGCACCTCGCCCACTGCAGCTCCTGCAACTGTCTGCAGCCAATCGGTCGCTACCAGTCCAACTTTTCGAATAAAAGGGTGGAGTCTACAAATGAGCTCTGCGGGTGTTACAGCAGCTGTGGGAGTTCAGAGTTAGATTTTCAGGACTCCTTTTTTAACACTGCGGTTTAACTCATGTCAGTGTTACATATCAACTGTATAACTCGTTTCAGTGTTAAATTAACAGTTCTTGGTGTTAAATTTGAACAACACCAGAAAATTAACACTTGAATTTTATGTGTATATGACTGTTAATGCTTTTAAACAGTTATGGGAATTTGGGGTAATTTTTTACTCTGTAAAGCACTTTTGAGTCGCACTTTTGCTTGAAAAGTGCTTTATAAATAAAACCTGGTTGATTGATTGATAGCTTCCTTTACTCTTCTCTCAAACCATCTATCTCCTCTGTCCAGAACGTGTACATTGTCATCTTCAAAGGTGTTTCCCTTGTCCTTCAAGTGTGGGTGGACTGCAGTGTCTGGACTGAAGATGTGGTTCTCCAGTGTTGTGCCATGCATTTGTGTAATTGGGGCTGTGTGGTGGCGCAGTTGTTAGCACCGTTGCCTCGCAGCAAAAACGTTGCCGGTTCAAAACTCTGCTGAGGCTTTTCTATGTGGAGCTGCATGTTCTCCCGATGCATGCGTGGGTTTCCTCCAGGTACTCCTCACAGATCACAACATGCCCTATAGGTTAAAAAGTGTACATCGCTTTGGATAAAAGTGAAGAAATAAACATAAATTGTTGTTTAGTTTCCCCAATGTAAAGATCAGGGGCCTCATTAATCAAGCTTGCTTACGCACAAAACGCGGTCGGCAAACTGCGTAAGCAACTTTCCACGCAAACTTTGGAATTTATGAAAGAAAACTTAGCGTAAAAATGTGCGCAACTTTAAGTTGACTAAGGACCTGGCTTACACACATGTTGGACATGGAGAGCACCTGCAGTGCTGCTGCTGAGGGAGATATAATTATGAAATCCTGCAGCATTATCACTTGTACTGCTTCGTTTTCACACAGACCCCCCCCCCCCCCCCCCCCCCCACACACACACACACAGCCTGAAGCCAGAATACAGAAATCAGCAGGGGGACAGATTGACGCCGGGGACACACCGGCCGCGGAAGCGCCGCGAAGCGCCGAGAAGCGAATCGCTCACGAAATTCGGCCGCTGCTCGCCGCTCCTCAGTTCAGATCAGACGCGCCCCAGTCGAGGCGCGCCTCGGCTCAGCTGTAGTTTTTCTTTTAAACACTTGGTGTCCTCCATTTCCTCTCTGCCTTTTCTCAGCTCTTTTCCTACGTTTGAGTGTTTGTGCGCGTGCGCGCGCGTGTGAACCTATGGTATGAGTTGTTTCTGCCAGTTGAATCTCTTGGAACCCGCTCCAATTCTGCAGCTGTATCCTAGCAGTTTCTTCCGACATGGGTACGTAAACAATCATGTTTTTCGGGGGTCGTACAGCTCCTTGTGTTTCTCAACTTCCATAATTAATTTAAAGTCATCCATCCTAACTGCTTGCCTCAGACTTTCTGCCTCTCTGTCCTGTTTGCTCCGGTGAAAAGACACCCAAAACCACTCCCCCCTTCACGTGGTCACACACGCACACAAGTTCGATGTGTGTGTATGTGTGTGCGTGTTCGTGTGGTTTTTCTGCAGTGTCTGTTTACGAACACATTTGACTATTGCGGAATTTTATTTTGAAATGCTTTATTTTGTTAACTTTACCGGCCTGCCTCTTATGTCTACGTTTGACTTCCTGCCAGAATTGACGCGATTCACCCGCGGCTCGCGAAAAAAATAGAGCCAACGCCGAAATGATCGCTGCACGGCGCGGGCTGGAGCGCCGGCGCGCGCCGGCGCGAGGCGATTCGTGGCGCTTCGGCGGCCCATGTGGTCTATAGAATAGCTTAACAAGGGCGCCGAATGAAGGCGGTCCCATTTTCGCGGCGCTTCGCGGCGCTTCCGCGGCCAGTGTGTCCCCGGCCTGAGACAGAACATCATGCGTCTGTGACAGTGTGTGCCCTGTCACTGTGACCCGATTGATCATGCGCCCTGGCGACTTGGACAGGGGAGATCTGTTTGGCTGACTGGTTAGTGTGCGTGACTTTCACCCGGGAGTCTGGGGATCAAATCCTGATTGGATCATTGTTTTATATCCGCCACAGATCTCTCTGTCAGCATTGACGGCTTCAGCAACGCTGTGCCACTCCGTGGATTTTATTTGTTTTGCAAAAGCACTTCCTTTCATTTCTCCACCTCTCCCACAGGTACCTCAACTTATGCTTCTGTGAAATTACGCTTCCTTGATCTGCGGTCGCCATCGTTAATGGTGGAGCGCTGCAACAAGCCGGCTTATGTATATGCATGAGATCCACAAGACACTTTGCACTGACCATTTATGGCAGTAAGTGGGCGTGGTGAGGGCGGGATGTGATCCAGAAACATCTGAGAACCTTTCTAGGTAGTGGATTCTTTTCCAGACTTTTGTTGATTTGTTTCTCTTCCTTTTGCATTCCTTCAGTCCACAAAATAGGAGACTGCAAAACGTTGCCTCAATTTATTAGGTAGTTTCTACATGTTGCTTTTACAGTGCATTTTTAATTTTCCAACTACAAGAACCCCCAGACCCTCGATCATACATGCTGCGATGCCACGGTAAGAAGACTGAATGACAGCTGCAGAAAGGGGCTGCATTCTCGAACTTTCCAAATAAAACGAACTCCAAACTCATTTTTCATTTATTTGTGACGGGGATCTCTCCTCTGGACCGCATTAACAATCTCTGCTGTTTATTTGGCACTTCGGCAGCCAGCGTCTCTCAACGTCAGTATGGTTTGTGTGTGTGTGTGTGGGGTGACAGGCAGGGAATTCCCTGAGCTGAGGAAGTGGTGTGACCAAATATGGTAACAAGTTTTTCTGTATGTAAATGATCGTGAACGGACATGAGCACCTGGTACATACAGGTGGGATTCATCATTGGATGACTGCGGAGGAACAAGTGGCCATCGCGTTTCATAAAGCAGGGCTTTGACCGCACAAACGTTTTAAATTTTGTTCAGACGAAGGAACATAGAAATATTTCTATTACCGTTTGATGAATGAGGCCCCAGGAGACTGCAGGACCTCTCCAGGAGTCGTGTTCAATGGACAGGTCTTCCAGAAGAAAAACCTTAAGCCTGGCGTTCATTAGGAATGGGGTGACCAGATGTTTCCCGACATTTATCACTTCATTAAACCCCTCCTAGTCTACTCTGGTCCAGCCATCAAAAACAGAGGATGTAAACATTGTTAAGTAGTATTTATTAGTAAATTTTAACGAAATGCTTTGAAAAACTTGACACAAACAAAAAACCTTATTCCAGTGAAGTTCTATCCATGCCCACCTTGTTGCATGTGCAGCTCTCCCACGACCCGAACCCTGAAGAGTTGAACTTTCAGTGAGAACCGGTGAGGTTCTTCGGTTTGGACTCTTCACACCAAAACTATTAGACTGGCGGTCAAGAAATGTCGACGTAAAGGATTCATCAATCCAACAGACACAAAAGGGTCTGGGCCCCCAGCGCACCTCTAGAGACTGCATGAACAGTAAACAGCAATTTGTTTTAATAGCATGTGCTGATGTTTATTTGTTATGAATACACCAACAGCTTTAACCTTCACTAAGACACGGTTCAGTCTGAAAAGAAAACTTCTGCTTCAACTACTCAACATTCAAGGACTTTGTAGAGAATTATAAAAGGGTGAACAAGAAGAAGCGTGCTCGTAAGCCAGAAACGCTGTTAGGACTCCCTAACGGACCCTTTGGGGACAGCTTGTGCTGAGCTTCTTGGTTTGGCTTTTTTGGAGGCTTCAGAGGTCGGCGTGGCCTTCTTCGCTGTTTTAAGTTTAGTCTGCTTTTTTTCTTTTTTGACCTGCTTAATTTTAGCTCGAGGTTTCTTTGTGTGGAGCGTCTGTCCACGAATCAGATCTTCTCGTCCGATCTCCTCCATGTGGTCTTCCCAGGACTCCATCTCATTCTTGTAGCGGATCTTGTCATCCTCAGCTAGCTGTGTATACACCTGGAACGTGAATGAGAGGAACTCAGAACAGGAAACTGGCTGGACTACAGACAATTTTAGATCCAAGTATAGTGACTGCGAAGGAAACCTTTTTATGATCGCTTAACAAACTCTTCCAATCCTCCAACAGAAACTTCATTTTGGCCTGAAAAAAAATCAAAAACAGAATTTGTCCACAGATAATCCCACAAAGGAAGGATGTACATAGCTGACCAGGTAGTTGCTGTTAATGTAACCGGATTAAATAGTGTTGCCCAGTTAACTGCTTAGGCAGTCCACGTCCTTCTGAGTGTGTGTGTGTAATACCCTTTATGCCACTAGAGTGCACGAGAGCACCACTTAAAATATGTTTATTTGAAAACCACAGAAGAAGACGGGATATCGTCACATGACATGGGCGACGCAACGGCTTAGCAACCCCAACTGTTGTACGCACCCCCACTCCCACCACCACCGCCCCGCGCCCCGCGTGCGCTGGCCTGGAGCAGCATGACCAGGCGTTGTCTCACATTTAAGACAGTCTCCCGTTTCGTGTTTAAGTCTTCCATAAACGGCGTGGAGAAAGTCGGAGTCGGACCACTACACGTTTTTACCTGTATAAAACAATAAGTTACACACATGTCATATTTATACATCTGATACAGTTCAGATCACCTTCAACTCTCAGTCACACACCCAGGGCCGTTTCAAGACATTTTGGGGCCAAGGCAAAACGGAACACCCCCCACCCCCATAACTGGGCTCCCCAGAAGCCTCTGTGTACTTCCTACCCTGTCCAGGAGTATTAGGCCCTGTCCACACGTAGCCGGGGATCTGCCAAAACGTAGATATTTTTCTACGTTTTGGCCTGTCGTCCACACGAAAACGGATCTTTTTAAAAACTCCGGCCAAAGTGAAGATCTGCGTTTTCTCCGTTTTGGGTGTCTGCGTGTGGACGGACAAAACCGGAGTTTTAAGGTCCGCAACGTCACTTTCTGCGACAAAAAAATGCTGACATCACGTGTGCGACCTGTGTTTACACTAGCCGACAGCATGGAAGCCCTCAGAGCTGCGCTCGCTTTATCAATCGTCCAAGCGCTTTCTGCTTGTTTGTTTTTGCAAGAGGAATTACTGCTCCTTGCGGAAGACCACAGACGAAGGACGAGGTTAAGAACGGGGGAAGTACTGCCGCCTACAGGTCTGGCATGTCCTTAACAACGTATTTATCCGGGTACGTGTGGACAGTTTGTTTTTAAATGAGGTGGTGTGGATGCAAGTTTTTGGAGGGGCTGATATTCGTTTTTAAAAAGCCCCGGCTACGTGTGGACTAGGCCTTAGTTATACGGTGTTTGTAAAAGCCTCTCAGACATTACTGACATGTTCTAATAGTATCAGATGAAAACTAAATTGTCGGACACGCCGTCTCATCTGCTTCTTGTCTAATCTCACAAACATCTGTCTGTCAGTAACAAAACCGTTTGAAAGCCTCTATTTGTGGATTCTCTGAAAGTTTCCATGGAGTGTGTGACAAACGTTTTTTTCATTGATCCCATCGACTAATCTCACAGCTGAAACAAGCATCCTTAATAATCTGAAGCTTCAACAACGCTGTAGTAAAACAAAATGTTTTTGCAGCCCTGAAGCAGCAGAAAAATTAGGTTTTGCAATAAATATGCAGAATATTTACAAATGAACTGTTTTAGAGCCGTTTTGCTGGCAGAATCTGATGTTAATGTTAGCTACAAGCTAGGTGTTCTGATAGAACACCGGGAAAAATGGGTCCCAGTGTGGTTTGTGTGCTGTGTCATGTATGTAACAGTGATATTGAAAGGCAGAATAAAAATGTTCACCTTTTTCTGTACTTCATTTCGTTGCACCCCCTCGCTTTTCAGTACGCACCGACAGCGGGCAGCGACGCCAAACACTGGCTGAGCAACTGTATAGCAACTAATGGTAAAATGTCCTGGAGCCGCCCATGTCACATGATCACATTAATTTTCTCAAAGATGAAGCTTGGGAGCATTTTATTCCTCATATGCAGGTGCTGGGCAACAATTAGAATATCATGACAAAGTTCAGTTGAAAACTTTAAAAAAAAGGAAGAAAAAAAAGAAAAGAAATGAGTTTTCTTTGCAGAGTGGCTGGGCTCTCCCTTAGAGATAGGGTGAGAAGCTCGGTCATCCGGGAGGGGCTCAAAATAGATCCGCTACTCCTCCACATCGAGAGATGCCAGTTAAGGTGGCTCAGCCATTTAAAGTAAGATGCCTCCCTGGTGAGGTTTTACGGGCACGTCCACCCGGGAGGAGGCCTAAAAAGAGAACCAGGTCACATTGGAGGGACTAGGTCTCTCACCTGGCCAGGGAACGCCTTGTGGATCTCCCGGAGGAGCTGGCCCAAGTAGCAAAGTCTGGGCCTTTTGACTTAGGCTACTGCCCCCGCGACCCGACTCCAGATAAGCGGAAGAGAATAAATGAATGAATGGATGGATGACTGGTAAGGAAACTAGTGTTTTTTTTAGAAAGCGTGTCCCCCAAAATGCACCGATGACCAATGCTGTTAATTCGATGCGGGTGTTAATTTTGTTGACAACATTTTTTCGTTTCTTTTTTCGTGACGAATGAAATTTTGCGGACTAAAACTGAAGGAAAACTAAATTTGAATATTGTGTGGGTGAGAGACGTTTCCACCCAGCCCAGGCCGAGCTGACCAAAATGCTAATTTGCCATATTTTCCCCCTCGTCTTCCTGCCTGTCAAGGACAGGAGCTGAGGAGATCACCATTAGTCTAAACGTGTTTCATACCAGCATTTGATCTTCTCAGTCCCTACACCCCCAGCAGGTCCCTGAGGTCCAGTGACCAAAGCCTACTGGTTGTGCAGCACCAGGCTAAAGGTCAAAGGTGACAGATCATCTGCTGCTGTGGCCCCCAGACTCTGGACCTCTCTCCCCCTGAGCCTGAGATCAGTGGACTCAGTGGTCTCCTTTAAAAAGCAGCTGAAGACTCACCTGTTCAAGCTTTTGTATGACCTTCTTCACCTCTCTCTCTTTATCCTGCTCTCCCCACCTATTCCACCTTCCTCACTTCCACTGATTTCCCTCTTTCCTGTTCACTCTCTCTTTAATATTTTTAATCACAATTGTCTATTTTTGCTCATTTTAATATATTTTTGATCATTTTCTAAATTCTTTTTATATTTTACATTTTTTGTTTTTGTGAAGTGCCTCGTGATTTTTATCTTGAGAGATGCTAGGGCTGCACAATACTAGGAAAACCTGCGATATTCGATAACAGTGCTTAATATTGCGATATCCATTTTAATCACGATAAATGAACAAATACTAAAGTATGCAGTGTTGATGTTGTCTGGCGTGTGACGTCTGCTCTGGGTTCAAAGCAAACAAAAACTAATGCATGAATTCCATTACAACATAACATTTTTATTGCAAAATCATGCAGCTGCACCCGCTACTGTACTAGCAGCTACACCTGCTGCTGTATTAGCAGCAGCACCTGCTGCTGTATTAGCAGGTGCACCCGCTACTGTATTAGCAGCTTCACCTGCTACTGCATTAGCAGCTGCACCCGCTACTGTATTAGCAGCTACACCTGCTGCTGTATTAGCAGGTGCACCCGCTACTGTATTAGCAGGTGCACCCGCTACTGTATTAGCAGCTGCACCTGCTACTGCATTAGCAGCTGCACCCGCTACTGTATTAGCAGCTGCACCTGCTACTGCATTAGCAGCTGCACCCGCTACTGTACTAGCAGCTACACCTGCTGCTGTATTAGCAGCAGCACCCGCTGCTGTATTAGCAGGTGCACCCGCTGCTGTATTAGCAGGTGCACCCGCTACTGTATTAGCAGCTGCACCTGCTACTGCATTAGCAGCTGCACCCGCTACTGTATTAGCAGCTGCACCCGCTGCTGTATTAGCAGCTGCACCAGCTACTGTATTAGCAGCTGCACCAGCTACTGTATTAGCAGCTGCACCCGCTGCTGTATTAGCAGGTGCACCCGCTGCTGTATTAGCAGCAGCACCCGCTGCTGTATTAGCAGCTGCACCAGCTACTGTATTAGCAGCTGCACCTGCTACTGTATTAGCAGCTGCACCCGCTGCTGTATTAGCAGCTGCACCAGCTACTGTATTAGCAGCTGCACCTGCTACTGTATTAGCAGCTGCACCCGCTACTGTATTAGCAGCTGCACCTGCTACTGTATTAGCAGCTGCACCTGCTACTGCATTAGCAGCTGCACCTGCTACTGTATTAGCAGCAAAACAACAAACTGCATGCATGCAGTTTCTCAGTGACTTTAAAACATCACCTCCACCATAAAACTTTTTCTGATGCTCCAAATACAGAAAAACATCCCTTACCAGAGTTTTTGGAATAAATAAAAATATCTGAAAATAAGTTTAAATGTTAAATAATAGTTAACATCACTTACATGCAACAGCAAATTCTCTCATAGCTACTGAGCATTTTCTCCACTTATGTGGTTATGATATAAGGCTGTTGATGTAACTGGGAAGGGAACTGTGCTGGGCCAAACTAGGAGAATATTACGATTTTCTGAGGGAAAGAGAAAAACAATTGTCTACCTTTCAGAAGAGGAACTGGCAAAAAAAAAACTACATGGAAAATATGTGAAAACGTTTGTTTTTAACCCCAAATTGAACAAGTTTACCTAGATCTTAAAAAGCAGCTCAGATGATGAAACTGCAACTATGATTCTGATAACAAGCTAACAAACTGAACTAGCTCCTCTAAGATAAGCGGCTAGCAGAGCTTCTGACTGACAGTTTATGTGCAGCAGCAAATCAACTTTCCTGATTAACAAGGTTATAAAAGCTCATAAAGGAAAAATCACTTTGATGTGTGGGGGAACTTTTCCAGGCCCTCTTTAGCAGGGTGGGACTGGGAGGAGAGTGCTGTAGCCTTTTAGCTGGAAGCTAACCGGAGCCTGGGGCTAACACCACCACCTGGTGGAACACTAGCGACATGGAGGGAGGTGGGTTGGTTCACCGGCACGTGTCGGAGTCAGCCCGGTTATTATCAGCTGCTTAACGACACCGAGCGGAGTCACGTTCACGTTTGAAAGCAGCGCTGAATCCAGAAACCTCAGCACAAAGTGTGTTTGTTGCTCTGAGCCAGCATGACGAACAAGGGAACGGCGCCGCTAACTCAGTTCGGGTGATGCTTTCCATCCTAAGGGTCTACGTAGGGGGCGGGCGTATTACGTGAATGGACCCATCTGATTGGCCGCATATCGGAAGGACTACATTTGATTGGTCAAATAATACTTCTGCGTAAAAAACAGAGCTGGTTTACAAAAAGGTGATGTATGACACGGATGGAAATGTTTGAACCAAACATTTATCGCTGTTTTTGACGTGCTTTGCGACGGGCCTATCACACGTCCTGTTATCGAGATGACGATAATTTTACGATATATTGTGCAGCCCTAAGAGGCGCTATAGAAAATCTATTTTCTTCTTCTTCTTCTTTAAATGCAGTGCACGGAATCAAACCTCTCACCTGTGAGGTGGATCCTCTGGCCTCCTGAAAGTGCTCGGACACGTAGATGTTAAAGGCAGTGCGAGGACGTTTGGGCTTTCCCAAGGTGGTCAGCTCCTGAAGAAGACCCATGCACACAAACCAGAGCATGTTGTAATCATATTATGAAAAATTAACACAGCTGTAAATTATGTATTACACAATAGCATAAAAATCTACTTAGATGTCAATAAAAGAAAAACGAGAAAGTTGTACAAAAGTTCTTGTTGCATTTTATCCTAAAGGATCTTGGCAAGTATTTTCCATGAGAAGAATTGTAGATTAGAGCTCTTCTATGGGATTGGCAGGGTTCCCCCAGTGTTTTATAAGCCTGGCGGCCCGCCAGGCTGAGTGTGGTCCTTACCCCCACCCGGCCCTACTTTCTCCGCTGACACGGACGTTGCATCGCAGCGAAACGAGCCGTGGGCCTCCCCGCTACTGATACTGAAACGGTGCAGCACAGCCAACACTAAGGTGTTTCTGGTTAAAAACCCAGGAAGCGTGCGCCCCCACGCCTCTCACAGACGAGGAACGGTAGCGCTACCCCAACCCCGCTCTCATGGTCAAGTTTTCTTGAGCTAACGCTGCAGCGCCAGTACGGCTGAAACGAATACTAAAATAAGTCATTTAAATCGATTTAAAAAAGTACACTTTTATTTTGTAAATTGACGCTTCGTTTATGTTCACTTCTGGGTTCTACAACCTCCATCCGGTGTGACATTCCGGTTATTTTACAACGACCGACGGCAGCACATCACCCCTGTTCTGGGACATCTACACTGGCTTCCAGTTCGGTTTCGTATTAAGTTCAAGATTCTCCTGTTGGTTTACAAATCTATCCATGAAATGGGCCCCTCTTATTCGGCACATCTTTTGAGTCCCTATGTTCCGGCGAGAACCCGGAGGTCCTCTGACCAGCACCTTCTGCTCGTCCCTCCTGCCCGCTATATGGCCTCTGGCAAACGGGCTTTTTCAGTTTGTGCGCCTAAACTTTGGAACCAACTCCCCCTGACGGTCCGACTTGCCCCCTCCCTTCCCACTTTTAAAGTACGTTTGAAGACTTCTTTCTATTCCCTGGCCTTCCCGGCTGAGACTGTTTAACCCTTGTGCTTTCCTGTTTTTTTGTTATTATCGTTTTTATTTGTTTTATCTACTTTATGTTGCCGTATCTACTTTGGTGACGTATTGTCGTGTACAGCACTTTGGTTGGCGTTGTCGCCGTTTAAATGTGCTTCATACATAAAGGTTGATGATGAACCGTGCTTGCTCCAACTGATCATAGAGTTGGTTAGAGCCCTAAAAGCCAACTGGTGTGTTTTTCTCTGTGTTTTATGGCAAAGCAGCATGAGAAGTAGACTAAAATGTTTGAAGATGTTGTCTTTTCTACAGCTAGCTCCTCTCTAGATAAAGGTCACTAAGCACTTGCTTGTTGGCTTTGGTTTTGCATGCATGTTGTTAAATTTCAGGTACTTTTTTGTAACCTTGCAGTTTTATCTTTATTGCGAAAAGGAAAAGCATGTATGAATGTTTTGGTGATTATTCGTTTTATCGTTAGAAAAACAATCAAAGTTGGTAAACTACATTTATTTTCTCTATATTTCAGGAACCTGCATCATTTGACTGACTGGCCCAGGTAAATCCATCCAGCATGGTGTTAGCTGAACATGAGAGCAAATGAAAAGGAACTGAATAAAAAATGTTACATAAATATTGTGGTTGACTTGTTTTTCTGCTCTGTTTACATTTCTACAGCATTTTCGAGGAAACAGAGGATTATCAGATTATTCGATTACTAAAACAATCGATAGTTGCAGCTCTGAGCGCCACTATTTTTAATTCAAGACCGGCAGGCAAAAGGCTGCAGAATAGCATTTTTTTGGTTCTTTTTTAAACACAGTAAAGGGTTGTTTTACCTTTTTTATCTTTTTCTGCTGCTCACAGGTAAACGGAGCAGGAAGTGACGCCACCATTAGCGGCTAGCTTTGATGAAGACCGCAGGAGTGGTAGAAACTGTCAGCAAAAAAAAGTTCAACAACCCTATCCTGTGTTTAAAAATAAAAAAAAATAATAATAATGCAATCATAAGCAACATACTGAATGAATACACACCAAACAACCAAAGCCAGTAAAAAGGAGCAGCCCAGAAGTAATTTCTTTTGTTTTACTCTAATATTGGGTAAAGAAGGCTAGAGGCTAACACTGAGCTAACCACGTTAACAGTCAATAGTCAGCTCTCAAGCATTTTTTTTTTCAATTACTAACAAACAGAGGTGTGAATCTTCACTTGTCTCCTGATTCGATTACGATTATTGGGTCAACGATTCAATTCAATTCGATTCGATATCTCGATGCATCACGATTATTTCATATTGATTTGTTTCATTAATAAATAGAAGATGTCAGATAATTGCTTTTTATTTATTTATTTTTTAATCAAAAGCGTAATTGACACAACCTGCCATCCCTCAAAAGCTCTCCATTCACAACAGGTTAGGACAAAACATTTAAACAATTAAGAAGATTTAACAAAGTAAAACATCGGTTTCCTGGTTCAACACCACGCCTCAGGCTGAGAAAATCACGCTTTGCAAAAACTCACAAAATCTAAAAAGTACTGAGAACCTACAGGACACATAATGTAATAATAAAATCCATAATGGGTTCATAAATGAGTGTTTAATGTCTCTGAGCAGCTCTAGAGTCAGATGTTTATGTTGAAGGGTGTCAGAAATAACACCAAATGAAATGTTTGACTTAGTTAGTTATTTTATTTGAACCCAGTGGTTCATTTCTGAAATGTTGGAGAATGAATCAAGTTCTGTTTGATGCAGAAAACAATAAAACATAAAACAAATTCTACACTTCCAATAATATTTAAGATGTGTGTTTTATTCTTCCTGATAATAACACCAGCAGAAGGCTGTGGGCTGGATTAGGATTAAATTACCCAGCTGATGGATCTCCTTCACTAGCCAGCTAACTAACCTGTCCTGTGGGACCCTCACCATGTGACCCTCATGTCCATGCTGTCTCTGGAGGAGCAGATAGGGAACAAGCTCTCCTGTAACCTAAAATGGACCAAAGCTTCCTCCTAGGGCTGCAACAAACGATTATTTGGATAATCGATTAATCGGATGGGGTCTCGACACGATTAATCGATTAATCGGATTACATGGGGAAATTTTTGAAAACTGCTAGGGAAACGTTATTTCTCTCCTTCCTTCACTTTATTTAACACAACATTATTAGAAAACAGTTCAATAGCAGAAAAACAACATGCCATCACCTGAATTGTCTTATAAGGTGTATAGACAGAGACCCTAAGCTACATCTATCTGTGACCTAAAATGCTTGGTCCAAGTTAAACAGCTTAAGGGCAATTCTCATCTGTTTTGTTTGATCTCATCTGTTGACATTTATTTTAATGTAATTAAACACAGGCTGTGAATTAATCAAAATTGATCACCATTTCCAAAAATGACTGAAAAAATACCAAATAAAACAAAAGTAAATGAATGCCATCCTCCTTGCGATGATGCCCTGGGCAACTGCCATAAAGTCACATCAAGAAATGCTGCTGATCATTCCAATGATCCCAAATAGACTCACATTAGGCCACATGAAAGCAACTGAACCCAAAAATATATTAACCAGTATATAACTGCACTCTCACACAACACGCCTGCAGCAACAGTTAGGACTCCTCCCTCCCTTTTAAAAGCGTTTTTGCTTCCGAGGACATTGTGGTTGTAAAACCACATGCTAGTAGTCTGGCCCCGGTGTGATCAACCAGTTTCTGCGGGAATGTGACGGCGGAACCAGGGCCAGATTAACACTTTGTTGTACCCTGGGCAACAATATTCAAGGGCTCCATCATCACGACCCAAGGATCACCATAATGTGGTCACATACAGAATATTTTACTGTAATATGCAGTAAATATACTCAATACTTGAATGCCTGACAACACGTAACCCGCCCAGAGTAACCTTTGACCCACCTCGTGTGGACTGACCAATGAGGAGAGGGTCTTAACTTGAGGCCCTCTCTTCATTGGTCAGTCTGCATGAGACTGACTCTCAACTGACGTTCAAAGTCATAGGCAGCGAAGCTTCTCTGTGCAGTGCAAAAGCCCGGGTGGACAGTTTGTTTAATATAGGGCAGGGATTCCCAAAGTGTGGTGCGCGCACCCACGCGGGTGCGCGAGCTGCCGCTAGGGGGTGCGCGAGATGAAAAGTGTAATGGCTGCGGAGCTCAGAGAAGTCTGTCATATGTCACCATTAGCGTAGCCAGAAACTCATTTGTGGGTGGGCCAAAGAAAAAGTAAGTGGGCACAATAAATGTAATTGAAAACAAGTATATTTTACTTGTGTGTGTGTGTGTGTGTGTGTCCTCCACATGTGCCCTAACTTCATAATAACTATGCGTCGAGCTTCAGCACTCTGGCCTGCGCACGCCGAAATGTTCCGTATTTTATCATTTTTAACGATGTTGGAGAAATCTGAAGGTGGTGAGTCATTCTGGCAGATTGTAATTAACACCTGTCTCATGCAGGTGTTCTGACATTATAAACCTCACACGCGCTGAAGATCTGAAGTTTAGAGTGCGTCTGTCAGAGGTCAGACGCGGTCCAGCGGAACCACGGCTCACGTGTGCACAAGTGAGCACATCTGGGCTGGGCAGAAGTAATTTTACAACATTGGTTTAAATAGCGCCAATAACGAGACACAGTGACTTAAACGCTGCAAGCTGTGAAGCGCGTTCCATCCGCGAGCCGCATCACCAAGCGGAAAGTGAATGCGTCAAGCATAAACCAAGCTTCGTGGAGCTGTGCCGCGCGCGCACACACACATTCAATAAGTGCACACTGCGCAAACTGCGGCGCGCCAGACTGATACCGTCAGACTGAAGGCAGAAATGAGCTCCGCCTCCTCTGTGATAAAAACTTTTAAGAGGTTTTATAACAACATTTTTCATTCCAGGTCAAATTAAGATATTAGCTTCTATTTTGGGATGAGTATTAAAGTCGGGTCCGCTCCAGTGACTCCGAACCTGCAGCATTTGTTGTTCCAGTCCGCGTGGCAGCGGATCGCAGATTCAGCCACACCATAAAACAGCAATAAGTCGGTCTGAGGCAAAAGCGAACCTCATGGCTAAAGCTTTTTCCTTTTCCCCTATTGACATTTGATTACGCACAAGTAGGTGATCAGCTCAGGTTTACGCAGAGCAGAAGGAAGGAGAGCGCTCTGGCCGCACAGGTTAAACGTTCCTACTTTAAGAAAACCGTTAAATTGCATTGTTTATGTGCTACCTGGGCACTCTAAATGTTTATTTAAAATTAAATCAAAGGAACTTGTAATGGTATCGAATGTTTATTAATTACTATTTAAAAAATGAAAGTGATGGGGAAAAAGGTCGATCATATTTTTTTAACCCTGTCTGTTTAGCTTGACGTCTGATATATATGTGTATTTATATATATATATATATATAGCCATGCCGTGATGTGTGTGTGTGTGTGTGTGTGGGGGGGTGCGTCGACATGGTCGGCACATAGAAGGGGGTGCGCGGCTAAATAAGTTTGGGAACCACTGATGTAGGTTGACCATATTTCCATTTCCAAACAAGAGGACAGGGGATCTGTGCCTATGACGTCACACTATGGCAACGCCACACAAACCATGTTGGGACCCATTTTTTGTAAGAACTAAATTAATATCAGATTCTGCCAATAAAAGGGCTCTAAAACAATTCATATGTAAATATTTTGCATATTTAATGCAAAATCTAATTTTTCTGCTTTAGTGCTGCAACAAGGTTTTATTAATAATAAATTATTATACCTTTTGTTTTACTACAGCATCGGTAAGCTTCCTGTGCACAGATTATTAAGGATGCTTGTTTCAGCTGTGAGATTAGACGAAAGGATCAATGAAAAAATAAGTTGTCACACACTCCATGGAAACTTTCAGAGAATCCACAAATAGTGGCTTTCAAATGGTTTTGTTACTTTTTGCAAGTTTATAAAAGAAGCAGATGAGACAGCATGTCTGATAATTTAGTTTTTCATCTGATAATATTAGAACATGTCAGTAATGTCTGAGGGGACTTTATAAACACCGTTTAACTAACACTACTGGAGAGGGTATGTGTTACACAGAGGCTTCTGGGGAGCCCAGTTGGGGGGGGGGGGGGGGGGGGGGCATTTCGCCTTGGCCCCCAAAATGTCTTGAAACGGCCCTGGGTGTGTGACTGAGTTTTGAAGGTGATCTGAATTGTATCAGATGTATAACTATGACATGTGTATAACTTATTGTTTTTTACTAGTAAAAACGTGTAGTGGAGGTAAATCTACCTACATTTTACTTTTCAACACTTTGTTTTGTTTTCTTGTTTTTATTGAACTATTTTCCTGTCCTGTCTGTCTCTCATCTTCCTGCATCTCCTCATAATTCTCCAGAAAATCTGTTGCCTGGATTCTTACCTTTTCACCTCATCAGTTACTTTTGAGCAGATCAAAGAGATCTCCTGACCACAAAGCGCAGAGCGCGTTTTCGATGCTGCGTGAGGTGACATCACCACAGCACAGGTGATGAGCTCCGCAGTAGCGAGCTTCAGGCACAGATAAGACAGAAAATAGAGAACATGTGCGGACATGAACGATCGTGTGCTAATTATAGTTTTTTGGTTGCGCCACTTTGAGAATGGACCGTGCGCTGGAAGCAGCTGCCTGTAGCGCTGTGCAACAATGTGGAACCGGTTCGCAGCAGCGCAAGTCTGCCGGCTCTCCCTCGCGCTGATCTGACTTGCTCTGGTCTGCGCGCAACGGCGGGCGGGAAGGGGGGGGGCGCTTTTGGAAGAGTTGTGCGACACAACAAATCGATGATGCAATTCGTTGCCAACGCTTTTAATAATCGATTTTCATCTAATTTATTGATTCGTTGTTGCAGCCCTACTTCCTCCCAGCTTCTCTTTAAAGGGACTTTACGGAGTTTTGAATTTTCATGCTCGCGATTGCCCCCTCAGTCCAAAAGCGTAACGGCAGCTTCATAAGTAGGCTCGTGCACGAGCATGCTGTACGTGCACACTCCTTAATGAAAATAACAGCTGAGACAGTCCCGTGTGTGTGTGTGTGCGTGTGGTCCGGAGAACAGAGGACAGGAGAACGCGCAGCTAATTAATTAAATAATTTGGTTCTGTACCTTTCTCTTCAGCACAGCCGACAAAAAGAAAGTTGAACCCACATCTTTTTTATCTGTGAATTCAATGTCGTTCGGCGAGTCTCAAATAAAAAGTTGGACATCTTACTGTAAAAATTATACCATTAATGTAAAAATGAAACTCTAAATAATCTACGTTGACATACAGAATCGAACCTGGTTCTCCTGCACGAGAGTCCGATATCTTACTAGGTGAGCTAAACAGCTGCTGACGTCCAATTTATCTGTAACTTTTATATCCTTGATGACAGCTGAAACAACGTCAAACCAAAGAACGGTTCAGAGTGAAAATGGCTATTTTGTTGCTAATTAGCAGGAAATATCTAGAAGAAAGTTCTACAGAAAGTAGCTAAGGGTCCTCAGAAATGTAGCTAGCTTTGTCACTAGGCGTTAGGAACAGCGACAACGTGGCACTGCCTCTCTCTCTGCTGCTAAAGCTACGGATAGCAAATGCTACGGGCGATGCCTGAGCGTGAACGCGCATGAAGCAGCCTGCTCGACCCGAGCATCTCTCTTTTTCTGTGATTTTACAGAAAAACAGGCAATCACAGTAAAAATGCCAGGGCTCATTCTACAGGACCAGGGCATTGCAGGAGAATGTATGAAGAAGACATTTAATATTTCTATACATGTTTTGGCTGTCACACTTCCATAACGCCCCTTTAAAGCTGAATTTAACATCAGTTTATCATCATGAAACAAAAGAATAAAGTGGAACAAGAACTTCTATCTTCTGTTTCTCTCTCTTTTTAACTTCTCCGTGTCCCTAAATAAAAGAGACAGACGATCACGCTGCAGCCGCCGTCACTGACCCCGCCCCCTCCCCAAGACCGGATCTCCTGACCTCACAACACTCGGTCTGACTGAGCGCTTCCAGGAGAAATAATAATTATGAAAATAATAATGCGTGTTTGGAGGAGCGTCCTCCGATCCTCTCTCTTACTGGGCAGACAATGCCCCCCCCCCCCCACGCTCTCTCTGTCTCTCAGTCGCTGATCGAGCGAGCGGAGCGCGCGACAACCTGCTCAATTAACATAATTCACGGCCCAAATCCGACAGAACCGATCGGGCTGATCCGGGTTCGGTCTCAGGTTCCAACTCCAGCGCTCAGCCCTGCAGCACCACATAAAGGCAGACCAAAGTTTCCTACCCGGTAAATGTGGAGAGCACGGCTCTGACAGATCTGGATGCTGCAGTTAAAGTAACACAGCTACATTCCACTATAACTGATGATGGTTCTCTTCTATGATGCAGAACGGTTTATGCCCGCATCTCGATGCATCCATTATTTGATTATTTTCCTCAGCTCTACTAACAAATCGATATTACACTGAAAGGTACTTATCTTCTCATCAACTTACTGCGTATGACTCATCTTCACTAGCATCTTCTGGTGCTGAGCCAAAGCTGGCAACAGCCAAAAAACTCCCGAAACAGGAGTGGGAGAGTCACTCGTTTGTTTAGAAAATGGACTGCAGTACCCAAATTTGACCACAGGATGTCATATTTACTTTGCTCCCACGTTTATGTTCATGTTTCTTCATTTAGGAGACGCTTTTATCCAAAGCGACTTACAATTTATAACCTATAGGGCGTGTTGTGATCCATGTTGTTTTAGCTCCAAGGAGCATGTGCAGTAGTTCATGTTCGCCAGACCCACGTAATACACTGTTGACTATAGTCTCACCAACACTAGAAGCTAATTCGATCAGATCTTCGGAGGAACTCCTTACATACAAACATCTCTTACCCTCTTCTTCCTTAAGGCTTTTCTTTTGCGCCTCCTTGTCTTTTGCTCTAAGGCCTGTTGCTGAAGCTGTGCTGGGGTTTGCTGGGCCTTGTACTTCTGGAGATCAACCTTGAACTGCTCCATGGCTTGGTGGGATGCCTCTTGGAAAGGCTGTAAGAGAGGACACCACAGAGTAAACAAACAGGGGTTTTGTAAAACATCAAATTGAACAAATTACCTGTTTTTGTTCTGGGCTCAGCAGTGTCCACTGCTGGGCGATCTTCCTGATGGCATCCAAATGCTTTATTTCTAAAGGACAAAGGAAGACGTTAAATGAAAAGAAAATCAAAGTGCTATTGATTTCTGCCAATAAAACAATAACTCACTTTGTCCCTGATCATCTAACACGGGCCAGTACCGGGGCTCAAATGGCATCTCAGCTGCGTCAAGGCTTTTCTAACCTTTATACGCATCTACAGGCTGGAGGAAACTAGATGGTGCTAAAAACAGTTTTCCACGTCCAAAAGTCTTTGTTGTCCGTGACTTAGGAATGTACATAGCTAACCGGTTAATTGCCGTTAATGTTGTAACTAGGGCTGCCACGATTGGTTGACTCGTCACAATTAATTTAATAGTCGACGTGTTTATTCAATAAACATTTTTTAAATCTCGGCTGCTGCGGCACGTTCGGCGGGTGCTTCCTGCCCCTCTGCTTACGCACATGCGCACTAGTCACCATCCAGGTCTGTAGCAACCTTTAGCTCCAAGAAGCATGTGCAGTAGTTCATGTTCGCCAGACCCGGAAGCTTCTCCGAGGCACAGTGCAGGACAAACTGTTGCCCTGAGGTTCTGTCTCTTCAGCGGATAAGGATTTGACTGCAGATCACCGTCTTTCATTTTGAACGATTCCTTTTCTTCCCATCTCCTGGATTTTACGTACATGATGGAAACCTGGGCCGAGGAAGGAGACGTCAGCTCCTTCTCTGACCTGCTTCCTGCGGGCTGTGGCTTCATCAGCTCTCCACGGACTGCAGGGAAGGGCTGAGGGGTTACTCTGGTGTTCTGATCCTGGTTATTCTGTCGGCATCTTTCAGTCGACCACTTCTCCAGCTTTGAGGTCTAGCTCGCGGCAGCTGAAGGTGACACTCCAGTGTTGTGTGCGGTGACTTAGCGAACACCAGAATATCAGCAAACATTTCCTCAGCATTTGGCGGACTTTCTGTCAGGGATTATGCTGACGTATGACCGCATCTTAATTGTTGGTGATTTTAACGCATGTTTGTTGTGAGAACAAGCCTTTGGTTAAGGACTTCTTCGATCTGATCGACTCTTCTATCTTGACTCAGTGAATGGTTCCACTCATGACACGGGCCACACTTTGGACGGGTGTTTGTGTTGCGTCCGTGCGCCACAGCACCTCCTCCTCAGATGATTAACTCTCTAGGGTCGTCACGGTGAGGAAATTTAACCTCACGGTTATTGTGACCAAAATTATCACGGTTTTCGGTATTATCGCTGTATTTTTTTCAAACGTGCTACATTTTCACACAATTAAATAAACCCTGTATATCAGGAAAATATTGTCCTCAGTTTGTGTCTAAATTTTACCTAAAATGTGTTATTTTGTAATTATGTTGTTTATTTGTTTACATTTTTCCCTTTAGTCTTTAAAATACCAATATTTGCCCATAACTTCTTATTTTTTGTCTGTTTGATGTCATCATTTTAAAAATATTAGATCAGATGATACTCAGTACTCAAGTAGCCTTCTAATCAGATACTTTTGTACCCTTACTTGAGTAATAAACCCTATATCAGGAAAATATTGTCCTGGGTTTGTGTCCTTCCAGTGAGCTTTGCAGATGTGGGAAAATGTCATCAGGCAGTAATCGTTGTTAAATTCATAATTATTCTCGGAGAGAGACCAACTCTTATCTGCCCCTGGGAGCCCCGTAATGCATAGCGTCATTTCAACATGGCGGTGTCCGCGACACGGTTTATATGCAGGTAGCGGCGCTGCGGCTGCTTTATATAGCGACTCGTTGCGTTCTCCCTCAACCCAAATCCTCGGATCACGCATTTTAGCTAAAACGCTAACGTTAGCTTGCCTTGCGTTGACTGCAGAGTTGTGGGTGATGGTCACGCAGATGTGTCATGAGATCTGAAGCGTTGCTGCCTTTCACAGACACTTTTTCTGCACGTGCTGCAAACAGGATAGCCGTCTTCTATCAACTGTCCCTCGGCATTCTTCAAATATCCAAAACATGCCCGTACTTCCCACTTTGTCTTCTTTGAGGGATAAAAAAATGTCCTGAGCGCTGCCGTCTCCTCCTTTGGCCATTATTTCAGCTTTAGCTTCAAGAAAGTTTTGGTTGTAAACAACAAAGTGCGCATGTGCCGCCGGCAACTTCAGCAGATGATACGGTGGCTGGTAAGGGTCACCGCGCCTACACCGCAGCCACGCTAATCCACCGAGATAATATAGTTTTTTTAAAAACAAGACGGTTATTATTATTGTCAACTGTTTTACCGGGGTTTACCGCTACACCGGTTACCGTGACAACCCTAGACAGCGCAAATGTTTTTAGCAGAATCAGAAATCTACTCTTTAGTCTCTCCAGAGTGGAGATGTTAATGTACTTCTTAGTCACTTTACCTCTGCTCGTATAACTATTTAGGACGAGTAAGTTCCTCTAAAGTCTAAATGCTGTACAGCAGTGATGTCACCGTGGCTCAATGATGACACGCGCGCACTCCGACAAAATCATCTGACCTTTTAATTGTAATTTCTCTTTATTGTTATTGTGCAAAAGAAAGGCACATAGAGTGCAAACTCTACAAAGTGAAACTCCTTTCACGGGAGCACACCAGCGATGCACGAGCACCTTAAACGTAAGCACATCATGGTGGAGAACAAAGAATTGCCTCTAAGTTTCTCTTGTTTGCTGTTATTTGCATTCATAGCTGTAACAACACCAGTAGTGGTGGTGATTTTATTACCTTTAGAACAGGTTTCTATGTCACATATTTTTGCTCCAATTACAAACGCTAATAATTTATTTCATCCCGCTACGTTAGTGTTAATAAAAGTGCTCCTCTTGAATGGATGAGTTTGTTAGGTGAACACCTCAGCAAGCTAACGTCCTGACCGAGGGCTTTGTGAGCATGACGGTCATGAGACTCCAGCCCACGGTCGGTATCAAGGTTTCAGAGAGAGGACCCAGGGAAGTGTGGCGGTTCAGTGAGACCAACAACTGGATGGTCCAATAGTTGTATTTGGTCCGAAACGTGGTATTGGTGGAGGTTTTAGAACAAAAGTGCCAAATTATGAGATCTTCTGCTTGTTTTTTAATCTCTACAATACATTTATAGCGATACCATGTTAGAATGCAAGAGGCATGAAAAAATGTTTTAAGCTAATTTGTTTTCCAAATGTTCTGTAGCAGCTTTAAGTGTTCATTGTATGCCTAAGTGATGGCCTTTCTTGACCTCTGACTTTGTGTATGCAATATCTGTATAATGTACCCATGCATGGACGGAGTTTTTTTTTTTTTTGGGGGGGGGGGGGGTATGCTATTAAATTACATACCATTAAAAAGAAAACATATGGATGAAAGGTTTTGCTAATGCATGTAACCGCATGCTAAAACAAACGGGACCAGTAAGTCTATCTGCGCGTGGCCCCACTTTACAAGTGGAGTGTACCGACCAAATTAAAATGTAGCGTTTGGACAAACACATCACAGCCCTAGAAAACAACAGGTTCTGGTTTACCTGGATTTTGACCAGTCACAATTGGTTTCTGTTGGAGAAGATATCTCATGTATCCATTTAGAGGTCTCTTAGGAGGCCCGCTGGTCTGAGAAGTCAGGTATTTTACTGGGTTCACATTAGCAGAGAAGATCCTGGAAAACCTGAAAATACCAAACGGACCTGCTCATAAGCAACAGACACAGCTCAGGTAAGCACACATCAGTCTGGTGATGAAGCTCACTTTACAGTTATTTACTCTGGTTTAGAAGGCTACACCTTTTGTTTACACAAAGTTTCATAGACTCGTTGCAAAATCTCCGTTTAGGAACCACGAATAAAAGCTACAGCAAAGATAACTCGTTTCTACAGATTATCTTCTACAATCAAATGATGCTTGTCGGGCTATCAGCGGTGTGGGCTGAAGCTGTGCTAAGCTAGTAGCAAAACTTAGTTACCTGGAGTGGGAGAACACACCGAGAGACTTAGCCAACAGGTTAACGGTGACGGTCAGCCCAAACGGAGGCATGTCGGAGTTTAAAACGCTTAAAGTTCAAACAAAAGTAGTACAGACAGACAGTCGCCGAGTGGCTACATGCATGCACGCGCGCTTTTCCCTCCCTCCCAGGCAACAACAGGCGACCTCAGTGCCGCCCGGTGCATTGTGGGAAAAAACAACAATTTATATTTCTTCTTCTTTATGGTGGAAAGCAGACTAGACGCAGCATGTGCGTGTGGCTGCCCTCTAGTGGTTCAAACAAATAATATCAACGAGGCCGATTCGGGAAATAGCTAAAGGGCAATTACACCATATTTTTCTCTACTCTGAATCTGCTCTTTCTTAAAAACTACAACAGCCCCATTCTTCAAACATGTGCAGGATTGTTCTACACTAATAGCAGATTGCACAAAACACAGCTTTGATTTGTGACAAAAAGCCAGATTTATAATTATTTTTTGCATCTGGCCTTCACTGGAACTGGTCTTGTGCAAAAAACAACAACATCCACTCTTCAAACCTGTACCCGATTATTAACAGATTATGTAAAAAATGATTGTCATCCGTCCAACCTTTTTCTGATTTCAAGAAAGCCAGATTTATGCATTTTTTTTAGCATCTACACTACATTGGAATTGACAACAAACACACTCTGCAGATTGCATAAAAAGTAGTTTGTGCTTAGTGAAATCTTTTTCTGATTTGTGAGACTTCCTAAAAGCCAGATTCATGGATTTTTTTTAGCATCTGGTCCACACTGGAACTGGTCTATCTAAAAAACTACAACCCCCACACTATTCAAACCTGGACTAAATTATTTTGCACTACCAGCAGAACAATTAAAACCAACTCTGATATTTGTGAAAACTTTACATAAAGGTAATTTAACACCTTTTTATGGATGTTGACCACAGTAGAACAGATTTCATGCAACTGTCCAATTTTTATTTATTACCTGTTCCTGTATAATTAAACTTATTTTTTGTTTTAGTCAGTTGTTCTCTCTTCATAGAAGATATCATACATTTGGGCATATTTTTCTTGGACTCTATGGACTGATTCAGACATCATGCAACTGTTTCATTGAACTTGTTCTACGGTACGAACCTATGTTGTCACTATTAACCCATGTATTATATTCACACATTTATTTGTTCATTGTTTATGATGTTTGATTAAATACAGTAAAAAAAAACTTCATAGAGGGTCATCCACTGAGAAACTACGACCAACACCATGATGTTCTAATTCTTCTCCTTTCTACTTTTTAGTTGTTTTTAGCATCGTTTTCCTTTTGTAGTTCCTCCATGCAATGACTTTTCAAAATTTCACTCCAGTTTTTTTCACACACTTTTCAATTCCCTTCATGTTGGTTCATTAATTTTGTCACACGCTACAGCGCATTTAAACTGTACACTGCACAGACACAAACCGGGCAGAGGCCTACAGGGTTTCCTCTGGAGTTTGTTAATTTATTTGACTTTGCGTAAGATCGTTAAAAATTAATTCCTGCAGGTGCGCAGACATTTCAAGCATTACTCATGAGCATTTTCTCATGAATATGCTTAGCATCTCGTTGACAGTGCGCTCAAGCGAACTGCGTGCTGAAGAGGATCCCCACATAGCAACCATAACTGGCCCAATGCTGGCTGAGGTCTGGGTCGGCTGACCCATTTGTTTTCTTTATTGGCCCTATTGTGGTTCAATACCATATTTGCCAAAGGTGGACGCGATGTGACTGACACACGTAAAATGGCATGTGGCCTGACAGCAAGCGCAATTATGTCATTGTCGTCTTCCTCCGCTTATGCAGGTCCGGGTCGCGGGGGCAGCATCCCAACTAGGGAGCTCCAGACCGTCCTCTCCCCAGCCACCTCCACCAGCTCCTCCGGCAGGACCCCAAGGCATTCCCGGACCAGATTGGAGATGTAACCTCTCCAACGTGTCCTGGGTCGACCCGGGGGCCTCCTGCCGGCAGGACATGCCCGAAACACCTCCCCAGGGAGAATTCCAGTTGGCATCATGACCTGACCTCAACAGACTCCTTTCGATCCGGAGGAGCAGCGGTTCTACTCCGAGTCCCTCCCGAATGTCCAAGCTCCTCACCCTATCTCTAAGGCTGAGCCCGGCCACCCTACGGAGGAAACTCATTTCGGCCGCTTGTATCCGCGATCTCGTTCTTTCGGTCATTACCCAAAGCTCATGACCATAGGTGAGAATTGGGACGTAGATCGACCGGTAAATCGAGGGCCTGGCTTTCTGGCTCAGCTCCCTCTTCCCCACGACAGATCGGCTCAGCGTCCGCATCACTGCAGATGCTGAACCAATCCGCCTGTCGATCTCCCGATACCTCCTACCCTCACTTGTGAACAAGACCTCGAGATACTTAAACTCCTCCACTTGAGGTAGGACCTCTCTCCCGACCCGGAGTTGGCAAGCCACCCTTTTCCGGTCGAGAACCATGGTCTCAGATTTGGAGGTGCTGATCCTCATCCCAGCCGCTTCACACTCGGCCGCGAACCTACCCAGCAAGAGCTGAAGGTCAGAGCTGGATGAAGCTAGGAGGACCACATCATCTGCAAAAAGCAGAGACGGGATTCTCCTGCCACCAAACTCGACACACTCTACACCACGGCTGCGTCTAGAAATTCTGTCCATAAAAGTGATGAACAGAACCGGTGACAAAGGGCAGCCCTGGCGAGTCCAACCCTCACTGGGAACAGGTCCGACTTACTACCGGCTATGCGGACCAAACTCACGCTCCTCTGGTAAAGGGACTGAATGGCCCTTAACAGAAAGCCACCCACCCCATACTCCTGGAGCGTCCCCCACAGGGTGCCCCTGGGGACACGGTCATAAGCCTTCTCCAAATCCACAAAGCACATGTGGATTGGTTGGGCAAACTCCCATGTCCCCTCCATCACCCTTGCAAGGGTATAGAGCTGGTCCACAGTTCCACGGCCAGGACGAAAACCACATTGCTCCTCCTCTATCTGAGATTCAACTATCGATCGGACCCTCCTCTCCAGTACCTTGGAGTAGACCTTTCCATGGAGGCTGAGGAGTGTGATCCCCCTATAGTTGGAACACACCCTCAGGTCACCCTTCTTAAAGATGGGGACCACCACCCCGGTCTGCCACTTCACAGGAACTTCCCCCGATGACCACGCAATGTTGCAGAGACGTGTCAACCATGACAGCCCTACAACATCCATAGCCTTGAGATACCCAGGACGAATCTCATCCGCCCCCGGGGCTCCGCCGCTGTGTAGTTGTTTGACTACCTCAGCAACTTCTGCCCCCGAGATTGGACAGTCCATCCCCAGGTCTCCCGGCTCTGGTTCCTCCTCGGAAAGCGTGTAGGTGGGATTGAGGAGCTCCTCAAAGTATTCTTTCCACCGTCCGACTATAGCTCCAGTTGACGTCAGCAGCTCCCCATCCCCACTCTAAACAGTGTGAGCGAGTTGCTGCCTTCCTCTCCTGAGGCGCCGGACAGTTTGCCAGAACCTCTTTGGAGCCGATCGATAGTCTTTCTCCATGGCCTCACCAAACTCCTCCCACGCCCGAGATTTTGCCTCGGCAACTGCCACTGCTGCACCCCGCTTGGCTTTCCGGTACCTGTCTGCTGCCTCTGGAGACCCACAGACCAGCCACGCCCTGTAGGCCTCCTTCTTCAGCCTGACGGCTCCCCAAACCTCTGGTGTCCACCAGCGGGTACGGAGGTTGCCACCACGACTGGCACCGGCCACCTTGCGACCACAGCTAGCAACAGCCGCCTCAACAATCGCAGAGTGGAACAAGGCTGTTACAGCTGTTGCTGTTTACCTCAGAAAACAGACACTGCAGAGGACAATCAGTGCATTGCCTCCTCCTCCTACCTGCACAGCTGCACTCACTTGGGCTGATCACCTCCTGAGCAGCATAAAAGGGAGAGCTGCCAGGAGGAAGGGAGAGACTGGATCTGTGCCAGTTCTCTCATGTGCTCCATTTATTGGTGTTTTAATGGCTTTTAAATGGGTTTTAGTTCTTTAAGCTTAGAGAAGCTTAAGAGCTTTTAGAGGTTTTTAACAGACGAGGGACCAGAGTGCTGGTTACCTCTTGGCTCCCAAACTTGTGTTTAAGTCAGTGGACTTTGTTTTGTGAATGTTTGGGAGCATTCGGATGTCTGTTTTAAACGTAAACCCTTGGCCATTTTAACAATGTGTTTAAGTACTTTTAGATTTGGAGCTTTTTGTCATTTTAAAATTCTTTTAATAAAATCAATGTTTACAATTTCCACAACTGAAACACATGCCTCTGTGTTACTCCCCGTTCTTCTCCATATCCACCAATAGAGGACGTAACAAAGGCCCACTCGGAGTCAATGTCCCCCACTGCTCTCGGGACGCGGTCAAAGCTCTGCCGGAGGTGGGAGTTGAAGACTGTCTTAACAGGTTCTTCTGCCAGGCGTTCCCAGCAGACCCTCACTATGCGTTTGGGTCTGCCAGGTCTATGCAGCATCTTCCCCTGCCATCTGATCCAACTCACCACCAGGTGGTGATTAGTTGACAGCTCCGCTCCTCTCTTCACTCGGGTGTCCAAAACATACGGCCGCAGATCAGATGATACGACTACAAAGTCTATCATCGACCTGCGAACTAGCCTGCCCTGGTACCAAGTGTACCGATGGGCATCCTTATGTTCGAACATGGTGTTCGTTAAGGCTAAACTGCGGCTTGCACAGAAGTCCAATAACGAAACACCACTCGAGTTCAGATCAGGCGGGCCGTTCCTCCCAGTCACCTCCCTCCAGGTCAAGCTGTCATTGCCCATGAGCATTGAAATCCCCCAGCAGGACAATGGAGTCCCCTGATGGAGCACTATCTAGCACTCGTCCCAGGGACTCTAAAAAGGGTGGGTACTCTGAGCTGATATTTGGCCCATAAGCACAAACAACAGTCAGGACCAGTTCCCTGACCCAAAGGCGCAGGGAAGCTACCCTCTCATCCCCCGGGGTAAACCCCAACACACAGGCAGAGAGTCTTGGGGCTAACAAAAAGCCAACCCCAGCCCTCCGCCTCTCACCCAGAGCAACTCCAGCAAAGGAGAGTGTCCAACCCCTCTCAAGGTCATGGGTTCCAGAGCTAATGCTATGTATCGAGGTGAGTCGGACTTTTTCTAGCCGGCACCGCTCAACCTCTGCCA